CCGAAAGCAGGTCGCTTAGTTTCCACAGAGGAACCAATGCCACCTCCGTAAAAGTTCCTTGTTTGGCCCTCAATGGTGAAAGTTTTACCTTCTCCCTTTGGTTTAAGTTTGCTCCGGATGGCTTGACCAATCAAACGTTTTATGCGGACAAAAGAAACAAAAAACATGGTTTCTATTTGTACGTTCAGGACCAAGTGATCCGCTTGACAGTGATTCTATACACCGATCGCAGCGACCTCTTAAAAAGCAACGGAAAAATCGCATATAACACTTGGACACACCTTGCTATAACATTCAGGGAAGAAGATCGTAACCTCATCCTCTACATCAACGGAAAGAAGCAGAAAGATGCATCACTTTGGCAAAGAATTGATTATTTCTCCGGAGCACCGACATGTACCATAGGAAACTTGCCTGATGGTTGGCTCAACAGAACTTTTCAGTTATACGGATCGGTGATGGATCTGTATTTTCTAAACTCTTCAGTGACTGATGATAATGTCGACGCTCTTAGAGGTGTGTACTAGGTTACAAATGTTCTATTGTATATTCTCGATCACAGGAAAGGTCCAGAGTAGTTACTATTAAGCAAGTTACCGCAAGTCTTCATCTATCCACAAAATCACAAAACAACTTTTTCTATTAATATTTACAATCCACGTGACAGGTTTCCCAGTTATAGACAAATACACAAATCAAGTAAAGAGTTCTATTGTGTTGGTGAAGTGGATGCCCCCTCTACAGGGACAGTGCCCAGTGCATGCTTACAGCATATACTATAAAAACAGCGCTATCAATTGGACGTCAACATCGCCTCGAATGCAACCAAAGAACTCAACCACGTACCATCTTCAGCTTTTCTGTCGGACAGCATACCAGATTGCAATGACAGCGTGGAATTCAAACGGAGAGTCGTCTCTGAAGGACAGCAGGGTCTGGAAAGTAACCACTGGTGGAGGTAATGGACATATGGAGCCTTAGGGGAAATCGTGCGTTACACATGACTGCCTTGCTTAGATTATGTGATAAATATTCAATTTCGTTTTCATCTTATCAGTATCAGATCTTAAAAATGTCAGTAAGGTGATAGAGGCCATATACGCTGAACGTAAGACAATTAACAATGCTTTTAGAATTTTCGTGACGGCTAGAATGTTTGTTTCGGATGAAAGAGATTTGTTACTGGAAAAAAATTGATTAAATTAGCAGCAGTAAGTAGAGAGTTAAAAACATTATCAGTGGTATTATCCCTATTCTTGAGTATCTTTAAAAACTTTAATGTATTGGAAATCGCGCTTGTATCCCCGTCTGGTTCTTTGCTTAAAGTTGCCTTTATCTGCCGCTAAATACTCTTGTTTTTAGTTTATGGACGAGTAATTCACTGACGATGTCTTTTTGGTGAAAAACCTTTACTTCTGAGTTCTTCTCTCAGGTTGCTTGTCTTTCTGCTTTCTTTGTTTTTAACAGACAAACCAATTCCCCCTGTTATCACCAACCTGGAAATGTCTGCCTGTATAGTCAATCTTACATGGACTGTGAGTGAAGATGCTTTATGTCCGCTCACCAAGTACACTATTTACTACAGACACGAAAAATCCTCTTGGAATAAGATTGAAATTAATAAAGTGTCAGTAACTAGCCATCAGTGGTCATTACGGTGCGACACACTGTATGAGTTTGCAGTGTCTGCTTGGAATGATGTGGGTCAAAGCAACTTCTCAGCTACTTGGCGAAAAAAGACCCAAATCGATCCAGGTGAGACAGGTAAGAGCCTTTACAATCTGCTTTGTATCAAGTTTATCCTTGCAAAGGTTGGGAAGAACAGAGACAGCAACAACATCAATTTGTAAATCATACTTAAAATGCACGATTCTTGATTGCTCAAGATAACTGTGCCGCTTATCGACATGTTTAAAAGCATAAATTGACATCAGTAATTCAATTGACGACATTAAAAATACAAACAAGTATATAGAATATGGCAATGAAGTTAAATCTATTTGAAACTTTTTAACCAACGGGGCTTGAAAGGAGATTTGAAGAAGATGAAAAAGTGTTCGAAAAACACAATCTTAAAAAAAAACCAACAACAAAAGAAGAGCGATGAACCACTGTGTGAGTGTTTCCCGTAAAGTTCAAGTTTTTCATTATTTACCTCAAATATGAACACTGTTACTACCAATAAACGAAGGCACATTTCTTATCCATATTCCATCCATCTTCTATGCAAAGTGCATGTAAGGGGTGCCTCGACCTAAGGCCACATCGGCTTTTTGGAAGTATGCTAAATTACGATTTGTAGGAGCCTAACTTTCGTGTTACTGCATACCTCCATCGTGACTTTTATACGGTTTTTTTTTTAACAGTGAATAAATCAATTTGCAGTTGTGTTAAGTTCACTACTGGTCATTACAGAAAGGTGCCATCAAGCTGTGTCATTAGGCGCTTGGATGGTTGTCACATACCGGTCTGTCTCCTCTGTTCTCGTACTGTTGAATGATCAAGTATCTCTGAATTCTTGTGGGACCTTTTCCTTAAGCCATAGATGTTTGAAAAGCCGGGAAAGCGCAGCCACAAATGCGTCTCCACCATGCTTGTTCAATTCTGGTGAGATACCATCCTCACCCAGAATTTTGTCGCTTGAAAGTTGGTGAATTGCCTTGGTTGTTTTAGCAACTGTTGGCATGTAGTCAAGCTCCATGATTACTGAACTTTGGAGTAGTTTATCAATGCCAGCGTCGCAAATCTTTCCACAAATAGTTGAGTTAAAAATTGAAATGCTATGCCCATCTCTCAATGATATCTTCTGGTTCTGGTTCTGATCAAGGTCTGTGCATCAAGGTCAAGGAGAAGACAGACTCCTCTAGCGGTTGAAACCTACACAGCCTTGAGTTCACTGAGAAACTTCTTAACATATCTTGTATCTGCAGCAACCTGTAGTTTTCTTTTTCCATCCAATTGTTCTTCAAATCACAGACTTTGGCTTGAACCATCTTCTTCCCGTTGTACTGATCTTTCTTGCCTGCAAGTTCTTAGTCGCAAGTGGAGCTCATGGAGCTCTAACAACAGGAATAGCCTCTGGGTAGAAGGGAACGATTACTTACCCTCGCCATTTCTTCGTGTTTTTTTTTTTTTTTTTTTTTTCGCTTATTTATTTGGTCTTGTTCCCAGTTTTTATTCCTAGTCAACATTAAGAAATCAGGCTCCTGGCTGATTCCCCCAAGGTGGTGGTGTACACCGTTGAGCACTTCTGTCTCGTTCCACTGATACTAAAGAGTTCTAACTACGAACTCGATAGATCTTACTCATTAAGGGAGAAATAGGAAACTGCCTGAACTTTCTTATATTAGACCTCTACCAGTTATTTTTAATTTTTTAATAATTATCACCTCAGAGGTAAATTAAAAAACAGATGGCTATTCACTATCTAACGATCTTCCCAACTTGCAGGTTTTATGGGCTGGCCGATAATTGGTATTATCTTGGGATGTATCTCCGTGTTCCTAATAATTTTAGTGATGTTCAGCTGCCACAGAAGAAAAAAGATCAGAAGACTAAACACTGCGAGGAAAAAAAGGTGAGGAAATAAATTTCAAGGCACGTAAGTTAGAAAACACGTTCTCGACATTGCTATTTCACGGGAGGTCAGCTGCGTCTTTTTAGCCTTGAAGTCGAACTTTTTTCTTCGTTTGTTTGTTTTGTTTTTGCCTTTTTTGCTTCCTCCCGTTTTGAAAAGTGTTTGACTTAAACTATCATAAATGACCTAATCAGTTACAATTATAAAATATTTCACTCTTATGGCTTTAAATACTCATGTCTGTCGTGAATGAATCAGTGCATTCGACTGATATCAGTGCATCTATTCAGGTCCAAGTCAGACATCACTACTCTTCAATATTTGGAAGTTTGGCCTGAGCAGGTGACTTTGCTCGAAGAACTGGGCCGAGGAGCATTTGGAAAAGTTCATAAAGGAGTGCTAAGGGAATCCCCAGGAGTGGAAGTTTTCTATCACGACATTCGAGAGAAGCGCGTGCCATTCAAGGAGGGAAAAGTTATTGCTGTTAAAGTTCTGAGTGGTTAGGAAACTTTGCTTTGCTTTGGATCATTGAAGCTCACATTTTTTTCTACAATTTTTCCTTTTATTCCTTTTTAGGTATACATGTTTTCTTTGTTTACGTTTTTCTTAACAGTTTTCACGTTCATTTCCTTTGTTTCAGATTTGTTCACGATTATATGGCAAAGGGGAAAATTAGGTGGTTTACAAATTTTCAAGCTACATGAATTTTTATCAAATTTATACAGTATTACTTGAGAAGCAAGTAATCAGAAATGTAACCTTTCAATGGGCGATGTAAATCGAAATCTATCACCAACTTTACGTCTTGGTTTTTGTAGCGTTTCTTTAAACGTGAGTCGAAGTGAATGATATGCACTGCTGATAAACAGTGGAAAATAATTAGAATCAATGCTTTTTAATCATTGAAATTACTTTTCTATAGCATTGGCAAACGAACAAGATAAAGAGCTTTTTTTGGAGGAAATTGATCTCATGAAGCAGATCGGCTGCCATGTGAATGTCCTTCGCATGATTGGTTTCTGGACCAGATCTGAACCTTTCCTTCTGTTGTTGGAGTATGTTCCAAATGGAGATTTGCTAACCTGGCTCAGGGAGAAGAGATATCAAGTAAGGAGGACAAAAGAGATAAACCATCACAGTGCTAACTTCCAGATATGATCCCTTCATGTTTGTTCTTAACTGTTTGTTCATTTAAATGGGACTGTATCTTTACCTACCATTTTTCCTATTAGTTGACTCACTATGATTACTTATGTGATAATCAGAGGAATTGTATTTTTTTTTTTATTTTGTCTTTCAGAAACATTAACAATCGCTCGATAGCCATTTTGAAAATTAGCTTTCAGTACTATAACAACCTGACGTGGGGTGATCCTTGACGAGTGATCATCTTGATTGGAAATAAAATGTGTCTTTGTTATTGCGCTTGAAAATTTTTAGGGATTAAATTAATTAGCAAATACAGAGTATATTTTTGTCATGTTAGGATTGCTAAAAACGAACTTGAATGTCTCAACATCCTATTAGGGTTTTCCTTCTTATCGGATATACTAATGAAAATGGATCGTAAATATAATGAATTAAATTATTTATATCATAATTGTTACCAGCATTATTGTGACTCATTTCTTATTTTCCTTATATCGAAAGATAGACCCCGTGAAGTTCCCACAGCTTCAAAGCACTGAACGTCTGACATCAAATGTTTCTAATGAAACTAAAGTATCACAAGAAGAGCCATCTGTTGGGAAAACCTCGAGTAACTTGGAGAAAATACACGCAGAAGAAGAACGATATAAGAGTGATCCAAAAGAAATAACACAGAATGAAAAAGAAAACGATGAAATCAGATATACAAATGATGACAAGGGAGATGTTGAACCAAAATATTTGAAAGAGGAAATTTTAGGAAATATAAAAGAGTTACCAAGTGAGAAAATTGGCTTGGAACAAAAGGAGAGAGAAGATAGTGGTTTGGAATTGAAACCTCTCTTAAGGCAGGAGTGTCATCAGCCTTGTGATGCACCCATAAATGTAAACAGCGTGGTTGTCGACTTCCAAGAAAGCAGTTCTAATGATACCACTTACGAAGCATCAGATACGATTGCTAAAGATATGCTTAGCTTTGCATGGCAGATAGCTCGAGGGATGGTGAGCAATAAGGAATACTCAATACATGCGGGACAAATTTACCTTCCCCACCACCCCCATCCAGGAAAAAAAGAAAACAAACAAACAAACAATTCGATCGGTCTCCATGATGTTTCATAGATATCAGTTTGGTGCAGTATCAGCTGTGCTATGTCAAGACCATCTATATTGAATGGAGATCTGTTGTTTTTGCTGCTTTCATACTAAGTTAAGTATAGAGGATTGACTTACAGTCACTTACCAGATTGTCTAGGTTAACTATTCAGCTATCTCTGTACACCTTTGTAGACCTTTTTCAGTTAATGGTGGTTTGTTTCAGTGCTGCCAATCTTCCTTTTCTATCCCTACAGAGTTACCTATCAGCTATGGGATTCATTCATCGAGATTTGGCGGCTCGTAACATTCTCGTTGGAGAAGATAAACTTGTCAAAATTGCTGATTTCGGCTTGATGCGCCACTCTGATTTGTACAAGGTGGAAAGGCAGAAAAAGCTTCCAGTGAAATGGATGGCACCTGAAGCGCTAAAAGATAGCATCTACACCACAAGGAGCGATGTGTGAGCTTATTTTCTGTAACAAACAAATAGATTTAATCTGCATAATTAGTTGGGCAGAATCAACGTTATAAATGCTTTCATTGGTAAAAGAAGGAAAACGACGTTTGTAAGTCAATCACGTCAAATAAATCTCTTCTTGCCCAAAGACATTTTCTTAGGTATGCAACGATCATGATTAAGATTGAATATTACTCATGGGGAGCTCTGCCGAACCTCTTCATGCCTGACGGAGAAAGCCTTTGTCAAAACTTTCTTGCTTCATCAAAAATTAAAATAGATGTCACATTTGTCACTTGTCATTTGTCACACAGATGTCACAGTTACAAATTTCACTCCTAATGTAGAGAGCGAAAGGTAGTAATTCTCACCTTTTTTTTCCTTGAGAAAGTGAATTGGACCGGCCTTTTTAATCTTTGAAGGAAAGTTGTTCTTAATTTGACATCGCTAAAAAAAAATTTCAGTATATTCTCTCTAATTTGGTTGGGAATAATCGGCTTATATCTGATCATTGAGACAGTCATAATTGTGCCTACTTCTGAATATTCCCGACACCTGGTGTCAATTATGATCCAACTTTGACTTTGGATGTTCTAACCCTGAGCTGAAGGAGACTTCTGCATTAAACATGAAAATAAGTTTAATATACACTAGTCCCAATTATTTTATACTTTCTACGTCCTGACCACATGCTCCAAATTAACATGGACTTTTACCAAGTGAAAAGTTGAAAATTTTAAATATACGATAAAGTGTCTATTATTTCCTTGATCTCATGCATGTTGTTTTTGTATATTTTAGTTGGTCCTATGGCATTCTTCTTTGGGAAATATCCACATTAGGTGAGAAGAACACGTTTAAATGACATTTTCTCTTTGCACACCAAATGTTTGATTGATTTTAATATCTTTCTGAGTTTTCCCTCAGAGCCGAGCTAATTAGTTCACTCCATCAGCCCGGCTTATAATAATCAGAATATGCATCGTGTAGGTGCAAAGAAAATGAGAACTCTTTACCTATGATTTTGATGTTTAGAACACAAAAGAAATGGGTAACCCGAAAATTTCCATGGCTCAGTTATATTCCTATTTCTTCCACGAAAAAAGAGGAAACGAGTTCATCGAGCAAATCTTCACTATAACATGTTTGCTTTCAGGTGGTACACCGTATCCAGGCATCAAAAACAGCGAATTAAGCAGTCTCCTCAAAACTGGATATCGTTTGGAAAGACCTCAGAGCTGCTCAGAGGAATTGTATGTATTTAACCAGATTTTCCAGTGTACAGGATTCTACAATTTTTTACTCAAATTTTCTAGGATGTATAAGTATCATGTTGAGAGCGTAGGTTTAACTAAAAAAGCTTCAGGAGGGGAAGGGAAGCGGGTGTTTATACTGTTTATACTGATTTCGCATCTGATTGAACCCTTCCTTGTCCCCTCTCACTGTTTGTGACATATTGTCGTTTCTCCTCCATTAGATATTCACTCATGTTGAATTGCTGGCAAGAGGATCCCAGAAAAAGACCCACATTTGAACAAATGATGGTATCACTAGAAGAATTAATGATGAAAGACAATCCATATCTCGATTTTAATCAACTAGGCGAGACCCATTTCTATTACAACATTGTGTCATCGGTTGAGTCTTCTTCTGACATGATACAATGACAGATCGAATGTGATAAATGATAGACCTAGCTCCTACAAAATTTCGAATATCACACGATGGAGCACAAATGGATACTTAAGAGGGAGAAATAACTTTTAGAGAAATACTGATTTATTTTCTAGTATCAACTTTATCTATTGACTCTCCCACAGACGAGAGAAAAAGACGCGTGCGAAAAGTAATGCATTTTACTCTATGGCTTTGACGGATTGTTTATTTTTGTTGGTTTTCCCCAAGTCTTTTTCTCCTGACTCAGTTATTCAGGCTTTAATTTTCGAAGTAGCATTTTAATGACAAGCTGACGCCGATCTTTCTGAAAATCATCCACAAGTGGTGATAGGAATGCCATTTTTGGACGCTTTCAAAATGTCCACTTCTTTTAAACAATCAAAATTGGTGTAATTACGTAACATATCTTTCTATACAACAAAAATACAACTTCGGACACGTGCTACCCTATGCGTCAACTTTAAAATGAGGGTTAAACAAAACCATTTTTTTTTTTAAATGAGGGTCTTATATAAATCGCTAGCCAAGGTTTCAATGCGAACTACCCTAAACAGTCTTCAGATGAAGACCCTAATGTCAATTAGGAAAACCGAGAGCAATGTAAGAAATATCCTTTTTAAAACATCTCTCTCCTTTCCCTCATTTTAATATAGTCATTGGAGATAAAACTTTCAAATCTCCATATTACTTTGTTTTTACTATATAAGCCTCAGTTTGAAATTTGACGTCGGTCTGTACTTACGACCGGCTCAATGGAATCAATGCTTCTACTAAGCAAGAACAGCTCGTCTTCTCAGTCTTTTAAGTGCTATTTGAGAAATACAACCTACTTTAATTCATAACACCCGATTGTAAATATACAGGGGGAAAGATTCCACACTGAGCAATTTTGCCATTTTTTTCTCTTGATTTAAAGGTTAGTCATGATCGCCTGGTAATATTGCAAGGGGTATCGTCCAAGTTCTCATTTCCACGCTTTTCATCCGTGATAAGAACGTGAAAGAAAATCACTTGAATGCTCAATTTCGTTTGGTTAACTTGCACTCTCAATCTCCATCGGTTGGGATGCAAATCATTTGTCATGAGCCAGCAGGTACCAGTACACAATTTGCTGAAGGATGGAAGGATCCAGAACATTTCACATTCTATTGGCGTCTGCTGTGCCTCTCTCTGGAGCTCGTACCCGTAAGCGGAGGGGAGCGCAAATTCCTCCGATTCGTTTCTTACTTTAAATCGAAGGTTTTAGCCTCATACAATCATAAATTAGCGATATCGTTGCCTTTTTCAGCTGATTTTCTGTAAAAAAACTAATATTTTCAATCTGAAGCTTTAGACTGTTTGTAAAATGGACGAGTTTGCCTCTGAACTTAAAACGCGCCAGCTGTGAAGAGAGGCAAATATGTCGCGTTTCATGTGGACGATCAATTAAAGGCCGTGCAGAGTAAAGCCATCGGATCCTTTACACGTCATTGTTAGGCACATAAATCTCGACCTATCTAATAAATTTTACTCATTTTTTCTGTCATAAAAGGCATTGATAAAATAAAATATATATATAAAGATAGAAACGATTTAGAGTAATTCCAAAGCGTATGCTTGATCGATGTTCTCAAAACTTTCTCAAATTGGGCGTAGAACTTTGATTCAAAGTAAAAAAGTGCTCCGTTTTCTCAACTTCACATTATTTATTCAAACTCTTTCAAACCGATTATGAGTTGACAAGCTGCTTTGTACAAGCCAATATCTATGATTCAGCTAATTATAGAGACAATAAAGGCTCCGTATTGTCGATTGAGGTAGAATTCAAATGAGGAAATTCAATTACAACCGAAAATTTAGTAAAAATTGCGGTGTCCCACCTCTGTGATCAATAGCTACATTGAGTCATTTCTTTTTCCTTGAGAACTCAATCTCTCTGCTTAAGTGGGATTTAGAGAACAGATGTTCACGGTTGACCGTCGTTTTCACTTCTATGTTGTGAAGTTTATGGAAAGGCCAAATTTTGTCTTTGGTCGTTTTCGTAGCCCGTTAATTCTATTCATTCTCGATTAACGTTGATTATTTTCCAAAGCTCTTCGGTTTAAGCGGAACAGTTACGTTTTTCATGAATGAAAGGATGTTTGTCATTAACTACCTTAGCACACTTCATTATGGTCTAACTGCACTTATTACATGGGCAGTAGAGGTTGTATCTTTGTTCTCTACAAAGAAAATACATAACACAAGACCATAATCTCAAGGTGTACCGATTTTCTTCGGTTGATTAAGCTTTAGTCTGAAGTTCATGTTCGAGTTTGACCGTGCCCAGTTGGTAACAGGTTCTGTTGTTGATACAACTATTTGACTATTTCCCCTTGTGACAAAGATCATCCGTGATGGACATGGCAGAAACAGCTGCGAAATCTCCGCCACTACACAAAGCAAATATTTTTTTTGTGTGTTTTCAATCTACCTCGAAAAAACCAATTGAAGATTTGTTATCCATTGCAGCCAAGTAGCTATGATAGAAATCTTTTGATGACGAAGAAAACTCCATGTCATTCTTCGGTTAAAGCAATTAAAATAATCCATCAAGAAAATGCCTCGAAGCGAGGGTGGAAAGTAATTAAAGTTCTGAAAAAGGAAGTTCTACGTTAAAAGATCACCCACTGAGACTAAATATGCTTGCATTGTCACCGTTTGCTTTCTTTTCTGACCAAGTGCAATATTTTTAAATCAGCGCTGCTTTCATGAGCATGTTCTCTTACAGTGAGGTTGAATTTTAAATTCTGTAGATGATATCGGTCGTTACTTTTTTTCTTTTTTTTACCAGGTGGTACGCGAAAGTATATCTAGAGAATGTGATTGGGCCCTAACGGGCTCTCAGTGTAGTGTGACAATCAAACCTGTAAATCTCAGCTCTTTGTTGTAAAAACTCCATTTCTGTTTACCAGATATCAACCCTTATGGAAAGGTTATTCATTTTTGTCTCTGTAAGACAAAAATTAAGGTTTTCGTTGTAGTTATGTTGAGGTGTTCACTCACCAAATAAACTTGGTACAATAAAAAATTATTCCCCGACGTGGAGGTGAATAGTCGTGGGTTCGCGACTTGGTAAATATCCACCGCTTTCCCCGACACTGACGTGAACAATTGTTTTAGTATATATGTATCGCAAAAACCGAAGGAATGAGTTTATTTCTGTCAATATACTGTAAAATAGTTGGAAATCAAACTCTTGACGCGCAATTTTGTTTCTTCGGAGGTGAGCAGTTCTTGCTGACCACTTCGAAAATCGCCAATCAGCGCACGCGAAAAGTAATGTTCATCTATGTGGTATATACTAATTAAAGATAATATCCTGTCTAGCAGAACATTTTTTAAGACAGAAAACTCCACGGCGCAGCTAAAGTTTCACTTCAAATAGACAGTTTTGAGCTGACTTCACCTGAGCGGTGTATTCCACAGAGCCACCATTTCGCTGGTATTAACGTATCTTGCCGTTCGAACAATAAGCAACCTGAACTTGTTTAGATGACCTTGTCATGAAGGAGAAACATCTGGAGAAACAGTCTATATCTTTCTGGTGTGTTCCTGTAGGTTTAAGTCATTAGGCAGAATAATTAATGTCAATTTTTGTCCCAGTAAGCCTTTGTTAGATGTTTGCTTATTTTCAGTGCATTTTGTTCGCAAACTGAGTTACAGTTGAGCCAACTTTCTAAAGATAGTTCTTCTTAGTGTGTTTAGGATGACAGAACCATTTGTGTGAATGACATAGGGAATTTTAATGTACGAAATGTTTTGAATTTAGTTTAGAAAGTTAAAAAACAAGGAGCCATTGCCGAATCCATATCCACAGATGTGTTCGGCTGATTCAAAACTTCCCTGCACGAGACACATAGTATATGTATTTCAAAAAGAAACTAGAATTGCTACACAGAGGGTTGCTTTTCGGTCTTCAAAAGCGAAAAAACGTCCTTTTGGCTGTAGCCGATTTAATTATATTGCTTGCGGCAATTTATAAAAGCAAAACATTTCTTCAGAGTGCTTAGGTTAATAAAAGAAAGAAATAGAAATTCAAAGTGTTTACTTTGTATCAAGCGGAGAGAATATTGCTATTCAGGGAGGTCGTACAATGTCAATTCACTTTGGTCACTAATTACTCGCTCATCTTATAAACAGATGTTAAATTAACTTATCGAAAAAAACCGAAAAGGAAGCTTGAATTTATTATGGTTCGTTTCGTTTCCTGAAAATCATCAAAATAGACGAAACGTCTGGTTGAAAAACAACTTAGAAACCTCCCAAACGGTGAATAAAGAAGAAAGGGCGTCTTCAATGAAATCTGTGCAGCATCTGCTTGGATTAAATTTCCAATTAGTCGAAAAACTGCAAAGAATAAAGGAAGTCGAAACTGTTTGGCCACAGCGATTTTCTATTCAAAAAAAAAAAAAAGAGAAAAACCACAAAGCTTTTGATTGAATTTAATTACTCAGAGCACTAGTCGTTATTAGAACTGCCACATTAAGGTGTTCAAAGCCCCTATGGTCATTTAGGGCGGGGTTAAAACAACGAATCAAGTTGAAGTACCGCAAATTACAGTCCAAGCCGTGTTATAAAACTTCTTCGGCAAATCACCGTCCTCATTTTAGATCCGCGGCCGCCTCACACGCCTCAATTCCCACTGAGTCGTATAACAAAATACACACAAGTAAAATGAAGACACTTTTTGTGCTGCCTCTGGCCACGGTACTTTTATTCTTGGCTACATCTCGAGGAGAAGAGTATGAGAAGTTTAAAGACTTCGAAGATGAATCCCAAGACTACGTTGCTGACAGAGTTAAGGAGTGGCGTCAACGGCAGCAGCTGAGGAGCATGTTTGATCCAAACTGTCTTGTTTGGACTCGAAGAAACTCGAACTGCTTCAACGGAAAGAAACGCAGCTATGACAGCAGACAAGTAGGTCTTCTTTGGTTAACAAGAAAAACTTGAAATTTATTTATCGCGAATGCTCTGCGTGGGATGAGAAATTTCGCGAACATTGCGAAGCATACCAATTAGATAAAAAGTACCGTAGGTGCAGTTATTGCAAACCGCAGACCTTCTTGCCATGAATTAAGAAGTGAGAGCAAAACGGTCACAATAACATTTGGTGTTAAGAACTGTTTTAGATATTTGGAACGATTAAACATGCCGGGATTACTATTAATACTAACGTGCTTTTATATTATTTTACAACAGGCTCGTTCAGACAGTACAGACAACAGCGTACTTGAAGATGCTGACTACTATGAATAACTAAAGACTTTTTCTGCCGCAAAGAAGTATGGATATAGAACATTTGGAGAAATATAACACATGAGCAGTAGAGTACGAATTGAATAATATATGCTTAAATGTAAAATAGAATGCTGTCTCAAATAATGATAATTATGTAAAGCGATAAAATGAGTGTGAAGAAGTAAGGTTGCCATTTCTCAATCTTATGTTAAGCTAACTTTTCTCCTAGTAATCCAGACGTTACTGATTAAAAAATAAATTGTTACAATCTATTTCAGTTTCTGATTTCTTTGTGAGCGATACAGGCTTATCTTCCGCTTAAGATTTATTCAATGGACTGGTTAACTTCTTCTCCTTGTGTCTAGAGATTCTAAGCCGACACTTTGATAATATGCACAGATATCTATTTGGTTATCTCGAGAAAACAGTTGAGATGTTCAGTTTTACTGCGCGGTGCATTTTGGAAGCGAAACTAATAATTTTTCTTGAGTTTTCGGCCCACTCGTAACTGGACAGAAATCCGCTGAAAAGCACGCTCTGAGGAGACGTAAAACTTACAGCAGTCATAGGGAATGAAGGGGATAATTTTCGCTCTATTTTAGACTTGCATTTGACTGGCAGGGGAAGTAGGGTGAGTTTCTTGACCAATCACAAAGCGTCGAAAAGAGTATAAAATTGTTCTTTCCCTCGTCACAGGAGTCGAATTTTGACATCAGTAGGTGTAGAACACGACCCTGAATCAAACATATTGTCATGGCTAAGTTAGGTGACGTACAGTCCAACACTACGTGACATGAATATGCGGGTCTGTGCCTCACGTCTCTCTTGACTCAGTAGCCATTTTGATTAATTTAGGAACACGTTCCACCTTAGAGCGAACTGCGACATAAATTTCAAATTATCTTTTTACGATGTAAATAACTTTAAAACATGACTCTCTGTCAACAACATTGGGCTTAACCTCCCCTCCCCCCAAACCTTCAATCTGCTTTTGCTAAACTTCTGAAAAGGACTGGATTTTCTATAGGTAGATCAATTCGGGTGGACATCATTACAGCCTTTTTACTACGATAGTTCATTTGATAACTGGTACTTCCTACAACTTAGTCAATTCGATATAATTGTTTTTAAAATGGAAATGAGGGACAAAAGGGATCGTGATATTTGTATCATATTCTGGTTTAGTTCTGTAAAACACGCAATCCTGGAGGTTAACTTTTTCTGCTTCAACAGCAGAATTATTACCACATCACATATTATGTTTTATTTCACTAAATTTTACTGGAGCAGCAGGTCTGGTTCTAAGACGAGGATTGAAACCAATTAAGGCTACTGATTATTATTCACCAGTAAAGAATCGTTCTACTTACGTACTCGTACTTTTTTTGCTTTTGCCTTTACTGCGGTGAGCTTTGATGTTCTTCTGTTTCGCTAAACTAATGAATTATGGTTTTCTGCTATTAAAAGCGGTTTTGAATTGAATCATGTCTGAATAACACTTAAATGGATGTCATAATGTATTACGAAAGAAATGGGAAGGAGACGGGTGAAAACTGAGACTGACGCCACTCAATAGACACCGAGGGAGACAGTTAAGAACTGACAGACAAAGAACAACACTTCACCAAAGGCAGTGTTCGTGTCAAAATGGCACCAGAGTCGTTTGGACAACCCTGTAAATTTGTTTCGCCATATTCATACTTTAAACTGTCCCGATCGGATAAGGACCCTTTTGGAATCGGTATTTGTACAGCAATCAAGAAACTTGAGTTGCTTTCAGGCCGGCGCCCTAAGTAAATCTTGCCAAACTTTCCTAAACCACCTTGCTATGTCTAATTTTCGTGAGCGGAAATAATCATCCAGAACACTTTGTAAAAAGATTAATTTCCTCGAAATAAAAGTGATTTAAGATCATTAAAGTTCGAGGTAACTTAGTGCAGCAGTGTAACAAACAATAATAATAGATACACAAATACACGAACACGGACTATTTAGAAAGCTTTTACAAGTGCAGTGAAAAAAAAGGTAATTTGAGTTTTATAGAACATGGTGATTTTTTGGGTTCTTTAGATTTGCAGTCTTATGCCTTGTGGTTTTAATTTTGCACCTGTGTGCGGAAGTTTGCTATTCCAGCGCATATGTTATCAAATTACAGCTGGTGGACGGTTAGACTTCTTTGCTCCGAACAATTCGATAGTTTTTCGCTTAGGTTTTTGAGTCATTAAGAGACAGGAAGTAATACAAAAGTTGGCTGGCTTAAGGGATCTTCCAGGCTCTTGTTCACACAAAGTAAATTTAGCAATATTTCTAGTATAATCTATCCACCACAGAACTACTGAGTGTTTAAAATGGCGAAACCTTTTTGAGTCTCCCCAGGTCAGGTCAACCCCACGCTATCACTTAATCGAGGGGGTGGCTTGGGAAGGATATTACCTGACAAAGTAATAAACTTACTTCACCACTTGAGTCACAACTTGCTCTAGAAATGTGTCCTATAGAACTCCTACTGTTCGCTATTTGATTATCCATCAGGCCCTGGATATTCGAAGGGTGGATAACCCTATCCTTGATATAAATCTTTATTCGGCGGATAGCGCAGAGCATTTATGAAAACTAATCCGCTGATAGCAATTTGAGCAACTGGAGCCCAGACGTTGTTCTTTCCTACAGCTACGAAATGGAGATCACTGTACACGATAAAAAAAATAGTAAGAAGTCAATGTAAATTTAAGAACCACTTTAGCTCCGTATGGAATAATTTCAGGTAAAAATTGAACACATGACAATATCCGGCCTGCCACTTGTAAAAAACGAGTGGTAAAACCTTTTAAATTAAAGGAAACTTGTGTTTTAACAATGTTGCTGTTAATTGATGGTCGGATCTACCGAGTAAATTACAAATTAGTTATTTTAACCGTTTTAGTGCTTTTCATCTTGAAAAGACGCTTTCGTTTTCCAATGACAGTGTTTGAAGAAGAAAAAAAATAAATAGCACCTGGCAGCTGTGTTTTCACAGGCTGTCCTGAAACAAGCTATTTAATCGGACTGCACGAGTTACTCAAATCATCAGCGTAGTCGAACAAGTTTTGTTACACCCGAGGCCAAACAGAAGATGTTCCAATATAAATTTATCGTCCTTTGTTTCCTCGCTTCTTTTGTTCTATTGGCTTTATGCCTCGAGCAAGAAGCTTCAGTAAGTCAAGAACTGAATCACGAAACCTCTTTCGACCTCAGAGAATTACGGAGAAGAAAGTTTCCTAAGCGAAGCTATAACCAAATGTGTAAAAGACTTCGCTGGGTCAGGTTTCGGAACTGTTCTTCACGTTAAGTTGTATCAGGTAATACACTAACTTATGAGTACATAGCAGTACTTGGTTTTTGAGCCCTAAAAGAAAATTCACGTCCTGTTGTATTTTTAAAGACAATTGATTAGAATGTTTAGCGTTTTCAAATTCCTAGCTGTTTTGAGAAGTCTTACCTCATATCAGCTTGAAAAAGGTGGAAGTATCTCGTGGTGAAATATTTCTAAGGGAGAGGAATGGTAGAGAGATTTCTTACATAGAACCGATACCTTAATCGATGGCACAGTATTTATCTATGTTGCCCAAGTATAAAATGCGGTTTTATTTTGATATTTCTCTCCACTATATTAGAGCACCCACAGAAATCTGGAAAAAAATTCAAACAAACAAACAAACAAAAGAATAAGAGGCAGTGAAAGATAAATAGATTAATAAATGAGTAGTATCGCGTGATCAACTCAAGATGTACGGGATTCACGCCGGCGGAGTGCGAATTCGTGGCAAACAGCTTGTGTTTCCTTTGAATGAATGAACTCAGTTTTATTGTTGTAATTACTGGTATTCAATGGAATCGGAAGAGCCATTTCCGATCAGAGTACAATGGCGGATATTGATTGAAATCTAGGAAAATCCGAAGGGAAAATCTTTCATCTGACAAAGAAATGCGTAGGTGGGGGAAACTGTAAAAGGGTTTGTAAAATAAAAAACTGTGCAGTAAACAACACTTTGACGACCACTGAAAGTATTTAGAATTTGTTGCGTGAGTTTTGTCAGTCCTTAATTAACAGCTATAAAATTCTCTCTTCTTTTGCAGGCGTTATTGACCAAGTCGACCAGAGTCCACTAGTCAGTATTCCGGATAATTCTTTGAAAATATTCAAAACTCAAGATTTGCTTAGGTGTCATTGCGAAGAAATTATAAACCTTTGATAAACTTCAAGTAATTACAATTGATGTAGAGAAAATATAATTAGTTTACCTGAAGTTTAGCGAGTGCTGCCGTATTTTTGTTGTTGTTCTTGTGATTAGTTAGCTCAAAATGTCGTTTGCTGTGGAGTGTTAAACTTCGAGAAATTGCAATTGATATAGAGATCAAAATATAATTATTCATATGCAATCTGGAAAACAATAACCCGTGCTGGGAAGTTTTCTTTCTCATTCCATCCAATAGTCGATGTATCGATAAGACTCTTACGTTAAGATTCAGTGGATCAATCTTTGCAAAGATAACAAACAATTCCCATTGCCTACCATGTCCCAGAAGCGAAAGTGTACTGCTCGGGATTCTGATCAAGGCAGAGAGAGATCCTACGCAAGAGTAGGTGTTCCGATCACACGCAATCGCACAAACCTCAATGATATTTAGCTGGCTAGTAGTTGAAAAAATTGAACTCCAAAATTGAGAAAACTTTTGATACGTCGCAAATATTTGTTGTAAGACCACAGCGAGATTGCACGGATTCAAGTCTGGATAAAGTTTTCCCTCGTTAGAGAATTTCCAAGCACCTTGGTAATCCGCACACATTGCTTGATAATTATCAGGGTGGAAAACCGTTACAACACTTTAAATCAGTTATAAAAGAAGAAACCTGAATGAACTAGAGCGAAAAATTTTATCCAAAAAATAAAGTGGAATTACTCCTGAAACAATGTCATAAAAGAAACTACCCGCTTAGTTCATGCAAGTCCTATTTATCCTTTTTGGATTTGGAAAAGGTCTCTTTACTGAGCTGTATGTTTTCAACTTGTCAGCCCAATGACCTTGGTATGCCTTGTCGCCGACTCGTCGGAAACTGCGGTATCGAGTTAGATTTATACACCCTCAACTTGAGCATAGTTGAAGCCATGATGACCTGAACTTTGACCTTCAAGTTCTTTTGGAGGTCAAGGTTCAAGGAGATACTATAAATCCTCGAAATGGCGCCCACGCCTCTTGTTTTCCTTTTTTTCTTTTTTCAGCCTCAATGTTTTAATGGAGCGTGGCTTTCAGAATGTTTTGTTTGTTTCCTTGTAAGTTATCGTGTTTTTAGTAACTGAGGTTAAATAAGCAACACTACAGCCTCTTGCTTTACTTGAATGGACTTCAAAAAAACGATTTTGATGACCCCGATATCTTCATCCAAAGTTGTTTTAAAAAACTGTTCCTACAGCACAGAACCACCTTAATTTTAGACAATGTAACGGCTCTCAACCGCATGTGAAAGAATTAATTGAAAAACATGGTTAAAAGATGAATGTTGATATGCTTATTGCAATGCATTGATAAAAAATGGCGGGCACCGAACTCGTTTTTGAGTTACAGGAACATCAAAGAACGATGAAACATGTAACTCTCCATCTTCTATTTGTATCTTGTAGTCCAGACAAATTTGGCAATCCAAAGGAAGTTACATCCTCAACTGCAGTATTTACACGTTCTCGGTTACGTTTATGGACATTTACCCCTACGGACCCTACGTAAAATTTTTTTTTTCGTCCGGAGATTCTCTGGTCTCACTTGAGTGATTTTTAACCGTAGTTTACGGGCATTAGGGAATAAGCTTCTAAAGGCCAACAGCCTATTCTCTCAAGTGTTTGGTTATTAATTTAACTTGTTTTTGGGAATTAAAAGGAATATTGCCTCAAGTTCATCCAGATAATCCGACGGACGTATGACCACTCTCTGATGATTGCGTTCATTCACGAATAGTTTCTACTACTACTTTGAGTGAGTTAGTACTGTTGAGTTCACAGCAAAGTCATCGTTGGTTATCATTAGTTTTGATCAGCGCATACTGACTTTCTCTTCCAGTGGATGTATTTGAAGCAGTTATTTAGAAACCGAGATAACTGCCTTTCCGCTGACGTATTGACGTCTTTCTCCGAGATATCTGAAATATGGAATACGCAATTACTTTTACTTAGGTCAATTATAACGACTGAGAATTCGATGGAAAACACATCTCTTGGTACCTCAGATCAGTTTAAGCTTACGCCCAGGACTCACACCCAGAAAATATTCGCCTTTCGTTATGATTTCACCAAAATTCAACACTTCCTTTCGTGCATTAAGTCGATTTTTCCTAGAGTACCTTAACGACAATACCTCGAGTCCGCCTTCTTGAACTCTATTTTCTTTGCAAGTTCGTGACCATCGTTTACAAGTTTTATAGTTCCCACTGTTTAAGTTTTACCAGATCTTCGCTGAAACAGTACAACAATTTTGCGAAGAAGTCTTTTAGAAAGAACTGATATTCCGAAGGAGAGCCATGATCTCACTCCTTTGCAGAGTCTCCTAATGTTGTCTCCGCAGAACCCAGTGAGTGCAGGCGGGAAGGAAATGAGCGTGAGATAACCAGTCGAGTGCAGCTTTTCATTTTTCTTTCCGACTCATCTCTCACACGATTTTCTGCATTCTTGATGGCGAAAATACGTCTGAAGCTTTATTGAAACAACAGAAAGCAATGTACATTCTACAATGAAAACTTGATACATTGATCCAATTTTCGTTTTCCCTGATTACATTACGACCTGTAAATCTCTACAATCCAATCACGATCATACTAACATACCACAAGTTCATTTCCACTGTACTTGTAGAAATAACGCACGAGATATCTACAACAATAAGAAATTCGACGTCGAATGGTATATTTACATCAGTAGAAAACGATACAGTCGGTAAGCCAATGATTATGCTACATCTTTCCATCTCTGCAAACAGCTCAAAGCTTATTTTCTAAGAGCACTTTCAGCAATATAATCATTTTTTGAAGTTACCACTTATTTTTGGGACACTTTGATTTGCAGCAGTTTATAAAAATGATACAAGTCGGTAAAGAGTGTGCCACTTTTTTGTTCTTACCACATTTTGACGTCATCTGTGATCTATTACTGAACAAACGCGCTGCAACTTGGAATCTATTTGTTTTATGTAATAAAGAATTAAAAACGTTTTAATGATGACGTCATCTATACGTCTGTCCTCCAATAGATCATAAGTGAGAACCAATCAGAATGCGTGTATAACTGAGCTTATTATATAAAACTACATGTATCCGTGTAATGTACAATACCGCTATGGAAATGTGATCCAGAACTTAAAATATTGGGAGGCTCCAACAGAACCCTATGCTGAGTAATTAGAACTGTGGTCCTTGGCTCCGGCCAACCCATATTTGAACAAAACTCCTTTTCATGAAGATATGTCTAAATAACAAAATATTACAGTCAAAGTCCATACAGCGATACATTGCATCTCAAGCTAATTTTAAGATATTTACAGCATGTGGACGCTTGATAATTTTCAGTGTACTTGGAAGACATAAATACTTATATTCAATTAAATATCAGTCACACTTACTTAAAGCTTCAAAATCATTCTGGAGACAAGAGTTTGTCTAGAACATGATCACTCATTGAAAACCAGAATTTCAAGGTAAAATGTTTGTGCATCAGTGCAAACTCTGAATGAGAAACACACTGCATAGAAATTATTGTCTTTGTTTCAAAAGCTCAAAGTAAACTTTGATTTTGGGCAGTTCAGAATCAGTTACATCATGTACAGTTTACATCCTAAATATGCCACAGACAAGTGCAACATTTGACAGGTTCATAGCAAACACCACGTCTCTCTCGTCGGTTGAGAACAGAGTCAGGCCAAAGGTAGTTTACCAACCAGAATGGCAGCATGATGATGAGAAATCCTACCAAAAAGTACAAGTAAAACACTTCATTCAGTTTAAATTATGACAAGATAGCTGTCTGCATTATTATGTTCTCTCAAGTGGGGTACTTTGAAATGTTACTCATCAGATGTGCCTTGTGGCTGAGCAATGCATCTCTGCAGGCAACAATTTAAAACCTATTTTGTATATCACCTCTTTTCAATGAGCTTAATCTAATTGGCCCCACCTTTGTAACTATATTTTTTATAAAAACAAATCTGCTGTTGTCACCTCTGCCAGAATAAACAGACATTCAATCAAGTCAATAAATCTGGTAGCCTTCAATTCTTCCCCCAACCTGTTTCAGTCAAAGCATTTTTAATTAAAAATAAGACACCATACAGGGGCTAATTAGAGTTAGTCCACCCAAAGACTTGATGTGCAAAATAAAACCATAAATGTACAAGTATATTTTCATTTGCCTACCAGTTGAAAGAACTGAGAATATTCCTAATGAAAGACACAAATAATACAACTCAGGTGAAAACTCCTTCTGAAAAACAAACAAATTAAATCCACATTGGTAATAATAACATACAGTTCTAGGATGTGTAATATAAACAATAATTAATATGACACAATGATTCATCCAAATCCAAAAGGATGCATGTGTATAAAGCCTTGTAAATTGCTACAATTTCCACCCTAAAAAATTTTTTCCTCCTTGCCACTGCACACTTAAATGATAACAAGTAAACCAACTTGGAACTAAATGCTACATGGTGAATGTATATTCTCCTCATTTGACTTCCTTATTAAAATATATTTATAAGCAAAAGATTACTTATAAGGTAAAAACTTTGGGTTAAAAGTCAAAATTTCTTCTGATTTCAATACTCACACAATCTAATGTGGCTAAAGTTGAGGCAAACAGGACCATGCCAAGGATTAGAGAACCAAATCCAAAGAAATGAAAGGCAATTTTAAGCTGCCAAGGAACTGGTTCCATTATGGCAAAGAGAAATGTGAAGGCTGAAAAACATAAATAAGTATCAAAGACTAAAAAACGTTACGCTGTCTTCTCTATTATATTTAGTTTAAACAACTAACATTATATATGAAATAAAGTCATAATTTGACTTGTGGATGGTTTCAAGTAACAAACTGATCTTATCTGCAGTTAAATGATTTAATATCCAGTATATAATATTGGTGATTAGATATGTTTGTGGGGCAAAAGATCAGATGAAACATTGTCTCGCTCACAACATAAGACTTGTAGTTCAGATGATAATAAACCTCAAGTGGGAAGCAGAAGACATGGAAGAAAAATTCTAGTTTGCTCATCCTTTTTCTACAGTTTCTGCAGCTACAAGTTCTTTCATTCATATCATTTTTTAAATTTGAACTAGAGAAATTACCCTTGCATGTAACTCTTGAATCCTCATCTCTTTCATACTGAAATAATCTGACTCAAATCATTCTCAAAAGGACAAACTAGATAATTGCTTTTAATCTACACCTTTTGTGAATATACCAAAAGGTTTGACATTTCCTCACCTATCATAGCAAATGTGAAAACAATTCCTGCTACAGTGATGTTTAACAGAGGCTCATCACAGAATCCATTACCAGTTTGCTCTCTACCATGATGCAAAAAAAATATTTACATCAACCAGAAGACATATTATCAGCACCATAAGTAAAGTGAATAAACTGATTTTTAAAATGAATGCACAATTAGTCATTATCAATCTCAACAGGGCTTGCATCTTAACATTCAGAGACAACAAGGTACATGAAACACTGTACAAAATGATAATTTTGAAGTTGTAAGTAAGTTGAGATTAACAATAAGTCCAAAATTTAGTTTACATAGTACCAGGATAAGCTGATAATGTTGCTCTGCTTTTGTCATTTGCCCTGTCATGCACATGTATGTTACAAAGCTGTGCATCCAGTAACACAGTGTTTACCAAATGTTCATGAAAGATACAGATATAAGAAGGTAATAATCAGTTGTAATTTTTTTTTTTGCTGCACTGTATTTCTCTGACCACAGGAAGACTTTTAAAACATTTGCCATGGCCAAGAGATAAACGTGCCCTTAAAAGTCATATTTTGCATGACATGTCAAATGTCCATCATCTTTCTTTATTCAAATAATAGGCATGAACTACTATTGCATTGTAAGACAGACAATTTCCAAATAACAGAAAATTAGTGACAAACTATACCAGTAACAATGATGAGCACATAGCAGATGATTAACTCAGAACTTTGTGTGAGTCTGATACTTACACTTGAACCACATAAAGCTGTGGTATAATAAATGAAAGAGCAAAAAGTATCACAGTGATTCTCCTGTTGAGAGAGGAAGTAGTTTTGATCATAATTTAGTCAAATATTTTAACCATGATTCATTCAATATTCAAATTATTTTAATTACCGAGTTTGTTTTAAAGGTGCACATGCTCTTGTCAGTCAGGGATTAACTGACTACTACACCTTTTTGTCTTCATATTTCCCACAATAAATAACTTAAGACACAGCTGCTCTTTTAATGGGGAAACAAAAGACATGTCAGCCATTTCTCCTAACTTCTTGAGCACTAAATGGTTCATAATAGAACAGAGCATGCCTCTTTATCTGGGAAATGATATTAGGTAATATTTCTCAACCAAACTTTATTTTCCAAACAAATAAATGTGGGTCATTGGTCATCAACTTATGAACCCCATACTTGACTGGGACTCTATGCGATGCCTAACCTTGTCAGCACTAACTATTTTCAATGATTGACACTGGAAAGCTGGTCTACTAATAAAGAACAGATTCCCCTCCACAGGTGTCAACTACAACCAGCACCATACAAACGACTTTTTCTCCTCATTGACACCACAATTGAATGGAACATAACAACCTAACTTAAGGAGTAATCAAAACTGACCAATCACTACATCGCTTGAGTCTTATAACCAATAACATCACAGCTAAACTGACCAATCAGTTTACACCAACTACAATCAGTATATTTGACTGACAAGACTCTTTACATTACTCTGATGATTAATTTTGATCTGGTCGTCCAAATATCAGTCACTTCTACTGACAACAGTCCTTCTCAGGACTACACTCACCACACTCACCCATGCAATCAGAATACACTGTCACATGTTCAAACCATTGTGGGTTCAAACCATTAACTGAAAAAAGTGTGGCTTGATTGTGCAGTCATTATTACAGATATTGTTAAAGACAGACAGACCATGCTTGATGTTTTCAGTGGTATTTCAGAGATTAACAATTAACATATCTCATATATTTTTAGAAGCTTAAATTTTAAGCATGCTACAAGGAAGTACTATATTGCACTTTAAAAACTGTTAATGCCTTTGTCATGGACCAATCAGGAGTGAGATATCTTGCTGAGTATATAAATGTAATAAGTTTTTTAGGAGCATGCATTTACTCGTCATCAAGCTTATTATAACATATGTACACCTACAGGCATGTATCTATGACATTTTTCTTTGAAGTATCGCAAAGTTTGGACTCCCTAAAAGCTTGGATAGGAAAACATTCATGATTTTTCCGCAGGATGTGTGATCAGCCAGCTAAGTGCAAGGTCTTCGTGCCATTACACAGCTTGACTTCGGTTTTAACTTAAAAGACGAGCTATCGAGTATAACTACTGCCATAAGATGTCAAAAAAAAAATGATCCCTCAGTTCCTTATTACTTACACTTTTCCTCGCGCGTCTTTAGGAAACCACCTTGTAAAATGGTAAGCACAATGAGCCACAAAGTAATACCACATTTTCCACTGACGTATTTGATCTGTCGTCTGACTTGAATGGCTCAAGCTGAAGATTGATCTACAGATTGCTTCTTTGATCAAAATGTCGACAAATCCTGCATTTCTGACTACAGAAAGCTTTGAATTGTTGCATATATAGAACTTGCATGTATAATATATATTTCTCACACAATCGCGCTAAAATATTTTGGTTGCATAGGAATTATTTACGTCCTCTTAGAAACAAAACAATCCCGGAATTTTACCACCGTGTTGTGTCCCACAATTCCTCACGTTACTATTCTAATGTTTCTTTTGATTGGCGTACGAGGTAATGTTTGACTTCTCGAATAATTTTCAGGCCACAGACACGGACGTGCAAATTTAATTCTGGGGAGATAACTTTTCGCAGACTAAGCTCGAGACGAGACCTTTTTTATGAGACCTATTTTAGAAAGTTTATGCTTCCAAGTCGTTTGTTTTCCCTGAGAATTAGAGGACTGGGTTCTAGATACCTGTGCTCATCCAACATGGCGAATTTGAAGGGTAGCGCTCTGGTTATTTTGGCCGAAGGTGCAGAAGAAATGGAAGCTGTCATTACTGCGGATGTTCTTCGACGCGGAAAAGTGAGCCATCGAGCTTTGAATTTGTTGGTTTATTTAAACCATTTTGGCGACAATTTCGAAAATTCCCGGGCTAAGGGATCCTAGGGTGAGGCTGGGAGGTAGTGATTTATAGAACTGTTAAGTGGAGCAACGATTCCGATATTGTTGCATTTGCAGCTGTTATGACAGAAGTATAAGAACTAAAGAAGAGGCTAGTTCGTTATTAAATTAGACTTTTTGAAGTCAAATTTTTATGTGACAACTACCACACCTCTAGTTGAGACACTTTCCCAGAGCAACGTCCAAGGTGTTAATTTAACCCTCTCCCCCTTCCAACTTTGTTAATTACCAATGTGTCTATGCCATCTTGCAGGCCAACATTAAGAGAGGCTGAGGAGGTAGTAGGTGTCCTAACAAATGTGTCTGGGTGTGTAGCTTGGGAATTTCAGAAGTAACCAAATCTCTGGTGTTAACAGCAAGTTCTGTATGGTTTTCCAAATCCTTTTTCAGACCACCAGGCCTCTCAAGTTTGTACCCTTTGTCAGACCATTAGGACAGTGTAGTTGTCAAGAATTTGTTGAATTTGCCCTTATGTTCAGCACAGATACAAGAACCATACATGTAAAAACATAGTTGTTGTGACAAATCTTTCTCTATTAATACATACTAGTTAATATCCAAAACTTGTTCCTCATGCCCAATAAAGCAGCTTCAACAGTTTAAGTAGAAACTGATAGCCTTGACTATATAAGCCTCACCCACCTATGTTATTTACATATTAGATTTCCTTGCTGTTTTCTGGAAATGTGAGACAGTGAATACAGAGTTAATTTAAAATAATGTTTTTACTGTTTGATTTATGTCCAGCAGAGGTGAGGTGAAGATTACTTTAAGAACCCAAAGTTTTATTAAAAATCAATCGTTAGATGACACGAAAAACAGAATGAAAGCAGCACTTAGCTGTTTCTCAAAGTCCTCTTCGAGAAGAAATTAAGTTACACATTTATATTGGAAAAAACAATGTCTTATGCAGGTTAAAACAGTAATTGGAGGTCTGACTGGTGCAGATTCAGTTGTTTGCAGTCGCTCTGTGGTTGTTAAACCAGACATGAGTCTGGAGGATGCAGTTAAACAGGTATAAATGTTAGCTTTAATGTTTTTGTAAGTTGTCATTGTATTGGGATAACTTTGCAAGAGATCAAATGAAAAGAGAAATGAAAGAAATTAGGAAAAACTATCTGAACCCTCAGTAGAAAGGCAGGGTACTAATAATAAGACAAGGTTTGATGCTTCTCTGGTTTAAAGATTTAGTAACCGAGAGGTTACAATTCATAGACCCAACATTTCAACACTCCTGTCTAGTGCCTTCATCAGGGGTGATCTGACGCTATTTATTCTATTCCTTGCAATGACTGTGATCATGGTACGTTTGAGAGAGCATCAAAAAGTGGTCTTCTTTTGCAGAAAAATGAAAATTCAGCTTTGTTAGAGTACACATATCAAACCAACCATACAATTGGGTGGGATAGGTCTAAAGTTATCACCACTAATTGATGTTACCACCAGCACCTTTGCTTGGAAGCCTGGCATATCAACTCCAACCATGCTCTGTTAAATCATGATGATGGTGGCTCACTACCTGACACCTATTTACACCCTGTCAGATAAAAGGGCAGCTAATTAGTGAGCTTATAAAAGGACCTCTTGTTGCAGCAATTAGATGACCCCTTATGAGGGCATTAGAGAGGAGTGTCAAAACATTGGGTCTAGGAATTGTAACTTCTTGGTTACACTCATCAAATCTTTAAACCATAGTAGCATCAAAACTTTGTCTGATTATCCACCTGGTTGCCATGTGAAATTTAATATATCGAACCAATAATTGTTGTGCAGCCTCCTTATCCAGAGGTTGTCAGAGAACTTTGAAGTAAGAAGCTTTTTATTTGGAGGGGCTGGATGGCTGGTTTACCATCTATTACTTATGAATTAGGAAAACTAACAGTTAGGAGAATGCAGCCAAGCCACAAGCACACAGTTAATTTCACCAGCTGCCAGTTATTTTTTGCAACATTTTCCAACCTTGTATATCAAGAGTTTTTTGATACTCTCACTAGATTTTGCTCATCAAATGATATAAGATGTAATTCACTGAATGTGATAACTGATCATCAGTCAACATAGAGACTCGCAATGGCCTAACCAGTGTTTTGCTAACCTATATTGTATTAACCCTGTTAGGGTCCATTTGATGCTGTAATTCTGCCTGGAGGACTAGGAGGATCTAACAATCTGGCGAAGGTACTCAGACATTCATCTCTTTAGTATTGCATATACAGAATATTTAAATGATAGTTATCTCCTTTATTCTTGTCATGATCAAATGATATTGGAGGTATAGCCATTGCAAAAGATTGATACTGATACTTTAATGTTATATAATGTCCATACATTTGATGGAAATTAGGGTCATTCCTGTCCTTCAGAGTGTAACATGTTGGAATGCAAATATTTATGAAAAAATAAATTGAGCAATAAATTGGACTATTTGTTGACCACACTATGGGAAGTAACAGGATTTATATTTTACCTAATACTTTGAGTATTTGTAAAAGAATAAATGTATATGCATATGAATTATGAATTATGAATTATGAATTATGAACTATGAATTATTTCAAGAATCATGATTTGAATGAAAGCAGCTATAGCTGTGTACAGTTTTTGATTCTGGAGGTTGTCACCCTTTCTCTAATGGGCCCTGTCTCCCCTAAATAAAACCCACCTCCTAGGCCATAATTTCTCACAAGAGCCCCCTCAAATGACCACCCTCTGTTCCTCCCTCACTTTTTGAAATAGTAAGGATACAAGGAAAACCTGTTTCTATTGCCAATTTATTTATAACTTTTTAACCTTTAATACAGCAGAGTCAGTGGAGAAGAATGGTTTTATTTCTGTTCCAGTCATTTCTATCTCCATGTGCCTGTAGAGTTTCCTTATTTGGGTTATTAGTTCTTGTGATTTTTGTCCTATCACTGTGCTAGCTAAATAAGCACCTGCTTGATTTAGAGCCCTCCTACAGAAATATGGTATTTTCACCTGTTAGGTGTTTGGTTGGTTGTTAAATAACATTTACTATAGATACTTTCAATTTGATCAATATTACTTGGATTACATATTAAACAGCATTTGTATAGCTTAGAGTGAATAACCCCCCACTTGAGTGCTATGCATGTACACTGTATTTATCAGGTGATGATGATCTTGTTTGGTAGTCTTCTAAAGTGAAAGAAATCCTTCAAGAGCAGGAACAAAGTGGAAGAATTATTGGAGCCATATGTGCCGGTAATTTTTATCAAAACAATCAACAGAATGGGTATAAACAGGAACCCATTACCCGGAGCCTCCATACCAATTGTACCCTTGAGTCAACCCTGTCCTGTATCTTTTTATTTTTAGAACTGAGATACGTGGGGGGGTTCTGTAATTTTCTGCAAAAACACGCTGATGTTCGCACAACACCCTAAAAAAAATGGTAAATTTTCTGCACTTTTCGCTATTATTGAAATACTTTTGTCCAGCCTGCATGTGACATAAACAATAGAGGACCACAGCTCTCTTATGATTGGCTAGTATGTAAACACCCATGAAAAACCCAATGGGAGGTGCTTCTAAAAATGAAAAGATATGGGACAGGGTTGACCCAGAAGGTAAGTACGGAAGATGGAAGCTCCTGGATAATGGGCTCCTGGTATAAATAAATGCATAAACATGGCTTACTACCCCAAAAATATGTAAATCAAGAAATTTAAGAGAACTTTTTTGTGTGAGTAAAGATGCTCTGGTCTAATGGTTATTGGCAGCACTGCAATGCTACCTCGTCTTCTTTCCCTCTCTTTCCCTCTCTCTCCACCTCCCTTCCATCCAAGGTACAGCAAACTGCCACTTGGGAAAGGCAAACAAAATGTCAGGGGGAGCAGCTTGCAATAGATTAGGAGTAGCCACACTCCTTGTCACCTCATGCCACAGAAACTAGGACAAACTCCAGCTTCTTGAGGGCCATCAGGGTCTAAAGGAGACTTTACCTTTTTTTTTTGTTTACCAACCCCCCCCCCCCCCACCCCTTCCAAAATAAGTAATCTCTGACAATTAAAAAAGTATTTGGAGTAAAAACTCCAGGTAAACTATGTTGTATTTGCCTCTTCAGCTCCGACAGCTCTTCATGCCCATGGAATTGGAAAAGGGAAGACTGTAACATCACATCCATCTGTGAAAGATAAATTGGACGGTAAATAATTCATTTATTAGTCCTAATTACTAGTAATATGCAATGTATACCAGGTTATGTATAAAAGTGCAGCTGGTGTTTTTCAATTTAAGACAAGGAAAAAATTAAAATGCAACATGTACACACGTAATCATAAGTCTTGTTATTCAGGTATGGCAAACTCGCTTGTAACTTCTCAGTTGGTTTTTCACACTGTTAAAATGACTAATGAAGTCGTCATTCGATTTGTCAGGTTATAGCTACTCTGAAGACCGGGTGGTCAGAGATGGAAACTTGGTAACTAGTAGAGGACCAGGAACAGCCTTTGAGTTCGGCATTGAACTTGTCCGTGCAGTGCGAGGTGATGATGGTGTAGCTGAAAAACTGGCAGGTCCCATGCTGATTAAGTAGTGTAACTACTGAGTCCCCTGGAAGAAATAATTGTGTTTTGCGTAAGGCTTGATTTCAATGTTGTGGATTAATTAATTTCGAAATTTATAAGTTACCAAGTATTCCCTCTTTACTGTAACTCTTGGAAACATCACAACAATGACAGGGGTTGCCGGCGGCTTATTGCTGCTTATGAGACCTATTACCGCCGTAATGTTAACCTACGAGCAATTTTGTGACTTTCATACCGGGGTAACTAAAACATCTAACTGCTGATTAATGATTATTAAATAGGTAGATCACGAACCGTGGGAGAAACAATAAAGAGATGTGACTGAAGTTTGGTTTTGCACCGTATTATTTGAGAGATTTTTGTCATTAATTGTTATTTTTATGAAAGCAGAGACCTCTCATTTCATTATTTTTGGACTGATGAATAAAAGGGATATGAATCTGGAGAGTTATTTAGGGTGCACCTCTTTCCATCTACATTATAAATAGTTTGTGCAAAAAAAGTGTTACGTATCACAATTAACAAGGATTTTTTTAATATTAAAAAATGTATAGCTGTTTTCGTAGGGCGAAAATGTGGCCATAATAACCAGATGGCCAAAAGGCGGGTTTCCTCTGTAGGTGAAACAGCTTGAAAAATCAAAATCCCTTTATATTTTGTCAGAGTATACAGTCTACCTTTTAGCAGCTCAAAAAAACGTGGTAGGATTTTTTTCTTTGTACTATTTTAAATACTATTAACCGCAAATCTTAGAAACGTCACGAGCTTAATTGTGTCCAAGGCCTCTTATGACTACGTGATCTTGCCTTCCAATGAAATTCTCCTTTTCGAATGTGCATCATAAAAACATCCGTTTAGGCTTACATTATTGCTTGGGGTTTATCGAAGTACGTTTACTGAGAAGTGTTGCCTTTTCTTTCATCATTTTATTAACAATGTAGCGACAAAAACAACACATGGAGTTGCTAAACACTCCATTGTTAGTAAGCAAAATAAATTGTGTTAATAATTTTTTACAACAGAAAAATTGCAGCAAACTTATTTGTGATTCAAGTGATATCGAGGGACCGCGAATATATCTCCATTGTCTTCGATTTTCTTTCTCACGAAACAAATTGTTGTTGTTTTTTTTATCTGTGCGGATTAGCTTCATGGTTAAAAATCGTATTTGGATCTCTGGCTCTTGTTAACATGGGATGTTGCCGTCCGAAAAATTTGTTTTAATTATATTCTCATCCTCTCCTATCTCACAAAGGTTAACCCTCGTGAAACCAGCAGTCGTTTTTCAATTTTGTTCCAAAATTTTATCAGAACCACATTCATGACTCGTGTATCGCCCGCTATACGAATTTTTGGTGTCAGGAAGTTGAACAAAGGAATCGTTGCTAAAAAAAAGTGCACCGATCAAAGAATTTTAATACGCAAATCTCAGCAGTTCCCGAAGCCCTTCTTTGAAACGAAGACTAAAATCTAACACCACTCTCTGCTTAATGTGAGATTTTCCAAGGAAAGAAAAATGAGAGAAATTGATTTCAGTTAAGGCAAACAGATTCCACGCTGTTGTACGTGACGTCAAGATGTGATACCCGAGGCACAACCGAGTGTGTCTGATTTTCTTCCCACTTTTGATAGCTTCTGTTTTCTTTTAAGGAACAGACTTACTGCAACTTAGAATATATTTTTTATACAAAAAAGAAGCGGAAAAATTTGGTAATTGTAACGTCATCTTAGCGTCTATCCTCCCATCGATCACAAGTAAGAATTAATTAAATGTATGTATCATTCAGCTTATTATAGAAAGATTATTTTAAAATGAAATAAACAACAGAAAACTTTATAAACTATAGGTTTGCAAAACCTCGTGCATGGATGAGTTGGCTACTTTTGATGTTAGTCAAAATTTTGAGTTTTATCTTAAATCCTATTCTGAGTAAGAACCAACTGTTTTGTGAATTTACTTACCATTAACGATGTGATTCAGTAAAGCATATGAAATTTTTTTTTTTTAAAAGAGATGTTAAAACATCTGTTTTTCTTTACTTCAGTATTTTGCCAAAAAAAAAAATCGGTCGGAAGTGATCACAAGCCAGTGTTGGAGTTTCCCTCTGAGGCTTCATGCTAATCATGACGTAAACAACCAGACACTAATGTGCAAAAAAGGAAAAACGTCAAGTCCATCCGCTAATGACGTAACCACTGTGTTGACTTTAAAACACCTTGTGGTTGAATGTCTACTCACTGCTTCCGGTGGCAATGAACCCATGACTTCCGGTATCAGTAATCGTTATTTTTGGTGTCTCGGGGCCTTTAAACGAGCTAGATATCTGATGTCGCGCGTCTAATCCTTAAGCTATAGTGTTGATTTGGGCCCGTGTTTGGTTATGATCGGGATCAAAGACGCACAGGCGTTTGCGAAAGATGATTTGACAGATGGAACGAATGATTTTAAAACTCTTGGGGCAGGAAACAGACAGAACGGAAGCTAAAATCAACTTGCGCTGCCTTGTCCTTGTCCTTGTCCGCCTTGATTGCAATAATGATTCATTATAAAATTCATTGTATCTAGTGTTAGGCTTTCAAAAAGAAAGGAGATATGGTACCTACTGCAGAGAAAATGGTTCTTTTCGCGGTTTTGCCGTTCGATTCGGGTGAGTAGGAAAACACTTTCCTTCCCAGTCTCCCATAATTTTTGCGGAAATGCGCATACTTTGCCTCCTTAATTTTTGCATTGCGCATTCGGTTGCTACCAAAGAAGCCAAAACTCTACTGTTAGTGAAATATCTTAGCGTTTCACTTCCGATACTTTAAAACATCTATAATGCTGTTTTTGATACCTCAACCGCCGAGAAAACATTTGCTTCAGTCGTAATGGATGTTGTTTTATCAGTCGTTACGCCTTGAGGGATTGTGACAAGTAAGTTTGAAAATATTTTGCCTTCGACAATTCATCGAATTGTTTTGTTTTGGGGTAGTCGGTCCTGTTTGTTGTTTTCATCATTTAACAAGAGTATTGTCAATTCGCTTGTGATATCGGCCTCCTTAGGCTTTGAATATAGTTAACGTTTCAAAGTGAGCATCACCTTACTTGAGCTACCAGCGAGACCTTCCAATCTCTATCTTGAGTGGTTCAGAGAACGTATTGTTTACCTCAGTTGTGATCAGCTGGCAATTGGACACGAAAATGTTACGTTTAGGCTTCTTCGTTTGTGATGCACAGTATGGCACGAATGATAAATTGGTATGAGTTTACTTTCATTTTTGTCTTGCATTGAATGTTAATGAGCTTCTGTGAAATTGGATTTGGGCGCCTATCGATAACATATTGAAGGGTTATCAACAAACGAGTAACACCTCTAAGAACTTTCCTTTTTAAATGACTTTTGTTGTAAGTTTATTTTAGTCTCTAGTCGTCCAAAATAACATTTACGACATTGTCGTTAACCATGTAAATTTGCGACCCAAAGATCAATTACAGATATTGTGAAGTATAAAATTAGGTATAGTGTGGACACGAGAAGCCGGCATTCAGTTTCGTTCGTTCCCAGAAAGTGACAATTATTTTAACTTTCACAAGATTCAAAGCATCAAAGTCACCTGTCGGCAAGACTCACAGCAAACAAGGCTGTGCTAGGCTATAATGTCACAAGTTATATTAGCTGGCCAGCGTAAAAAACAGAGATCATAGACAGTATGTATTAATAGTTCAGTAGTCTTGACAACTTTATCATTACTGACAGTGCAATTTTCTATGTCAATTCACATTTACAATGTGGGAATAAAAGCAGTTGATTCTTTACAGATTGTTAGCTCATAGCTTTAACAATGCTTGTTTTGTCCAACATTGACCAATAAATGGCTCAGTCCACATGTATTTGTTTTGGCCATTTCTTGTGGTTCTGATACAAAAGCTTCAGTGTAGAATTTTAGAATGAAACAAAGAAAAATGAAATGTGTGAGGTGTATAGACATGAGTTAAATGTTCTCTGAAATTGGCATTCCTGGTACCATGTAGGGAAATGAATAGGTGGCAGCTATTTGAAGACTAATTTGTCACATAACAATACTGAAGTGTGAATTATGTGAGTAAGTGGTTTATTGGGAATTGGTAACACTGCTTAAAACTGTGAGAGAAAAATTGTGAAATTGACATCAACATAAAAATTGCTGCTTATAGAAGAGCTTTATGAAGTAATGAATCCTAATTGTTATTTGAAGAGTTGAGTTCCCCTTGTTTCAAGAATGCTAAGATGTGGGATCATTCATGGTCTTTCTCTAAATAGAAAGAGACAAAGTTTTCAACAACTCAAGACTAAGGTTTTCAGAATTGTTTCTACTAAGTGAAATACTTGTCTGGCATGTTCATTCTATTGAACATTCTAAGGAACATTTTATGGAACTGAATTTTGCATTCAGCATAACCCTGGGACAATGATGTACCATGGGACCAAGGAAAAGTGGTAGCCACTGTATGTTATATTAAGGCCCTCTAAGCATTTTACTTTTTTGACTGGAATGGGAACTGATGTTATTTGCATTGCAAGGTAATGTTTAGTGAGGAATTTATGTGTTACCTATGATTTAAATTATATATTTTATGTCAATAATTTTGTTATTTTAATCATTTGTTTTGCACATTAAAGGAAGGTAATGTATGGGACTTGAATTTCAGGAGTTGAAATATTTTTGGATTATCAGTTAACTTCCATTTTTTGTCCCTCTTTTTTCACCAAAGTGAAACTTGTTATAGGATAGATGAGTAACATTTTGTACATAATATGTTCACCAACAATATCATGGTCTTTTATCAGGGATGGAAGAAGAAAACAATGGTGAAACACTAGAGGCTGGAGTAAAACTTTCACTTGTCCAGCCTCCCTCTCCCAGGCCTCGCCCTGTGCCCCGTCCACGAAACCAAACCAAAGGACTCAGCAGTACAGAAATGAATGGAAAACCTGCAATTACAGCTCCTAAGCCTGTGTTACCTCCAAAGCCGAGACGGCCACCACCAAATGCACCAGCTGAAAAACCACTGGAAACAAATCAAGATGTTCCATCAAACAACAATAATGATGAGTTACCAGTTGTTAAAGGATGTTCAACAAAACAACATTCAGTAACAGAGAAAAGTAAAGACAATTTAGCGTCCAATAATGTAATGACTTCTGCTGGTATCACAAACAGCACTGACACAAAACATGTTGAAAATGGACCTGAAAAAGTTGACTCCACAGACGAACAGTGGTATCAACCTTTAAGACCAAGGCAAGGTAGTGATGAGTCAAGCTCAGATGATGCTTATGAGGAATTACCAACAGCAGAACAAAGTAAAG